GGCTTGCAATATTTTGCCACTGCAGTGTAGACCTGTCAGTTCCCAGCCGTCTGGCCAGCTGCCCCATTTCCCCGTGGAGTTTGAGGCATCCATATGAAAGCGCCGTTTTCGTGGCTGTTTCCATCACAGACTTCTCACCAGAAAGCTGCAGGGACTCTGTGACTGGACACACCAGGATATGCCACTTTTTTTTTTTTTTTTTTTTTGAGACAGTCTCGCTCTGTCACCCAGGCTGGAGTGCAGTAGCATGATCTTGGTTCACTGCAACCTCCACCTCCCAGGTTCCAGCGATTCTCCTGCCTCAGCCTCCCAAGTAGCTGGGATGACAGGCATGTGCCACCATGCCCGGCTAATTTTTGTATTTTTAGTAGAGATGGGGTTTCACCATGTTGGCCTGGCTAGTTTCGAACTCTGACCTCAGGTGATCCGCCCGCCTCGGCCTTCCGAAGTGCTGGGATCTGTGAGCCGCCATGCCCAGCCTGGGCTATGCCAGTCTTTAAGGATCTGTCCTGAGGAGCGGTCACAGCTTCTTTGGAGAAGCCTGCTCCTGTGGCTCCGCCGCCTCATCACACAAGACTGCCATAGGTTGACTTGGCCCCTTGTTGTAGCTCAAGCACAGTTCTTCCCCTGTGGGCTTCTATGGAGATAGCGAGCAACCAGTTTGGGTCCTTGCAATCATCAACAAGCTGTTTTTAAATCGTCTGTGAAATTCTTCCCAAGTCAGGAGCCGAGAACCTACAGCTGCTGTAACTTTTTTTTTTTTTTCTTTTTTAAAGAGATGAGGTCTTGCTCTGTTGTCCAGCCTGGAGTGCAGGATGGTTATATGGGGTGATTATAGCTCACTGCAACCTCAAACTCCTGAACTCAAGCCATTTTCCTGCCTCAGCTTCCCCGGTAGCTGGGACTGCAGGCATGTGTCACCACATCCAGCTAATTTTTAATCTGTTTTTAGAGATGGGGGGATAGTTATGTGGTCCAGGCTGGTCTCAAACTCCTGGGCTGAAGGGATCCTCCAACCTCGGCTTTAGGAGCGACTGGGATTACAGGTGTGAGCCACCACACCCATCTTCCTATAATTTTTCTTACTAAGAAAAAGAATCTCCATTCTCCAAGTGCCTGCTCTGTGTCATGCACTCTACTAAGTACTTTAACGCACTGTTTCATTTAAGCCTTCAGTAGTCATATGAAGTAGGTAGCATTATTCTCATTTTACTGGTTAAGAAACTGAGGTTTACGGCCGTGCGCGGTGGCTCAAACCTGTCATCCCAGCACTTTGGAAAGCTGAGGCGGATGGATCACTAGGTCAGGAGATCGAGACCATCCTGGCTAACATGGTGAAACCCCGTCTCTACTAAAAAATACAAAAAACTAGCCGGGCGAGGTGGTGGGCGCCTATAGCCCCAGCTATTCGGGAGGCCGAGGCAGGAGAATGGTGTGAACCCGGGAGGCGGAGCTTGCAGTGAGCTGAGATCTGGCCACTGCACTCCAGCCTGGGCGACAGAGCGAGACTCCGTTTAAAAAAAAAAAGACACTGAGGTTTAGTCTCATTTAAGACTGTTTCATTTAAGCCTTCAGTAGTCCTGTGAAGTAGGTAGCATTATTCTCATTTTACTGGTTAAGAAACTGAGGTTTAGCCTCATTTAAGGGTGTTTCATTTAAGCCTTCAGTAGTCCTGTGAAGGAGGTAGCATTATTCTCATTTTACTGCTTAAGAAACTGAGGTTTAGGCCAGGCACGGTGGCTCACACCTGTAATCCCAGCCCTTTGGGAGGCTGAGGCGGGTGGATCACTTGAGGTCAGGAGTTTGAGACCAGCCCCGCCAACAAGGTGAAATCCCATCTGTACTAAAAATACAAAAATTAGCTGGGTGTGGTGGCACATGCCTGTAATCCCAGCTACTTGGAAGGCTGAGGCAGGAGAATAGCTTGAACCTGAGAGGTGGAGGTTGCAGTGAGCCGAGATCACGCCACTGCACTCCAGCCTGGACAAGAGTGAGACTGGGTCTCAAAAAAAAAAAAAAAAAAGAAAAGAAAAAAGAAACTGAGATTTAGCAAGAGGAAATGTTTTTCCCAGTATGAAAATCTGAAGTGCCAGAGGCTGAGGTCAGCCCGGGCCCTGCTGGCTCCCTCCGCACACTCTTCACTGCCTTGCTGTTTCTGCAGTGGCTTGAAGGAAGGGAAGTCGGAGAGGGGCCGGACTGCAGTTGTTTCTCTGCGGTACATGAGGGTGAGGCTCTGAAAACCATCGTCATGGGTGACTACTAAGATAGTCAGGCTATGGTATCATTCCACTTGCTTCAGCCTAGACCTTCCTGTCCATGAAACTGTACACATTCGCGATCACTCCCCATATGGCTGCCGTGAACGCCCGTGGACGTCGGGACCTGGCAGTGACCCAAACAGAGAAAAAACCCCACTCCCAATGGCATTTTAGAGGGGAGACAGACAATTAACAAGGTTAGCAAGTACAGCATATGGTATTTATTTATTTATTTATTTGAGGCAAAATCTTGCTCTGTCGCCCAGGCTGGAGTGCAATGGCACGATCTTGGCTCACTGCAACCTCCACCTCCCAGGTTCAAGCGATTCTCCTGCCTCAGCCACCCAAATAGTTGGGATTACAGGCACCTGCCACCACGCCTGGCTAATTGTTGTATTTTTAGTAGAGACGGGATTTCACCATGTTGGCCAGGCTGGTCTTGAACTCCTGACCTGAAGTGATCTGCGTGTCTCGGCCTCCCAAAGTGCTGGGATTACAGGCGTGAGCCACTGTGCCCAGTTGCATATAGTATGTTTGATGGCAGTAGTGCTAAGGAGAAAAAACAGCAGGCGGGGTGAACAATAAATGCTGGAGAAGGGTGAGCCTTTTTAGAGTGGCCTGTCTGGGGCAGAGCAGCCCGGGCAGAGGGAGTGGAAAGCACCAGCCCTAAAGCCTGGTCCGTGCTCAAGGGGGGTCAGCGTGGCTGCAGCAGAGGGGGTGGGGGCCAGCAGGGAAGAGCGCGGAGAGATAAGAGGCGGAGTCAGGTAGGGGCTGCAGGCCCACGCTAAGGTCTACGGCTTTTCTCTAACTGAAAATGCCTTTAGAGAAGGCTTTTAAGGAGGGGAGTGACAGAATTGAATCAGATGGTTCTGAAAACTGCTGAGAGTAGGTTGCAGTGGGGCGAGGACAGAGCCGTGGGGCCTGTTAGGACACTACTGAAGTAACCCAGGTGAGGAATGACGGTGGCAGTGGGGAAGATGGAAAGGAATTAGGTTTGGATGTATTTTGAAGGTATTGCTAACAAGACTTCCTAATGAGCTGGCTGCGTGGGGTGAGAGAAGGCAAGTTGAGGAATGTCTTTGGTCTGAGCAACTAGAAGAATAAAGTTGCCTTGAACTGAAATGGGGAGACTGCCAAAAGGCCGGCTGAGTGGAGAGCTGGGAGCTCCATGAGGCTGGAGACACCCAGTGTCTAATGGCAGTGGGTAGGTGGGTGTGGAGCTCAGGGGAAAGGGTCTCCCTGAAGATAAAAATTAGAGAATCAGGTCAGGAGCAGTGGGTCACGCCTGTAATCCCAGCACTTTGGGAGGTCGAGGCAGGCGAATCACTTGAGGTCAGGAGTTCGAGACCAGCCTGGCCAACATGGTGAAACCCCGTCTCTACAAAAATACAAAAATTAGCCGGGCATGGTGGCAGGTGCCTGTAATCCCAGTTACTTGGGCTACTCGGGAGGCTGAGGCAGGAGAATCACTTGAATCCAGGAGGCGGAGGTTGCAATGAGCCAAGATCACGCCACTGCACTCCAGCCTGGGCGACAGAGCAAAACTCTGTCTCCAAAAAAAATTAGAGAATCATCATTATATCCATCATATCTGTCTACACCTATCAGATACACAGTATTTAAAGCCATAAGACAAGCTGAGATTTCCTCAGTGTTGAGTATAGTTATGCAAGAGAACGGCCGAGGACTGAGCCCTGCAGCACACTGACAATTAGAGATCAAGGACAGGAGGATAGGAAAACACCAACAAGGCCAGGTGCGGCGGCTCGTGCCTGTAATCCCAGCACTTTATGAGGCTGAGGTGGGAGGACAGCTTGAGGCCAGCTTGGGCAACATAGCGAGACCTCATCTCTATTAAATATTTAAAAATTAGCCAGGTGTGGTCGTGGGCACCTGTGGTCCCAGCTACTTGGGAGGCTGAAGGGGGAGGATCACTGGAGCCCAGGAGGTCAAGGCTGCAGTGAGCTTTGACTGGGCCACTGCACTCCATCCTGGGTGACAAGGCAAGACCTTGTCTCAAAACCACCATCACCACCACCAAAAGCAATAAAGTGCTTGAGAGAGGGCGTCTAGAAAGGCAGGAGGAGAACCGGGAGAGAGCAGCATCCTGGAAGCCGAGAGAAGAAAGCGGTTCAAGGAGGAGATGCGTCAGTTGCATGTCACGTCACCAACGGGTCAAGCAAGAAGAGGGCTGACAGGTGACCGTGGAATTCACCAGTGACCTGCACACCTGTTTAGTGGCATGGCCGGGGCAAAAGCCCAGTTGTGGTGAATTTGAGCGAGGCCCGGGGGAGAGAAATCGGAGGCGGTGGAGGAAGGGCACCCTCCATTCTTTGAAGGAGTTTTGTCGTAAAAGAAAGTAGAGAAACGGAGTGGAAGCTGGAGGGGAAAGTGAAGTGAAGAGAGCTTTGCTTTTTTTCTTCTTCAGACGGGAGAAATACAATGTGTTTATGAGCGGATGGGACTAACTCAATCGAGAAGGAAAACGTGGAGGTGCAGGAGACAGAAGACAGCTGCAGGAGCTATGTCTGCGAGTGGGCCGGAGGAGCTGGGGTCCCATCCCATGGAGGGGCCGGCGGGGGCAGGGCAGCTCACCCACGCCGCGGGGAGAAGGTTGAGTGCTCGGACACAGACACGCGGAGTGGGTGGACACGCTGGTGAGAGCGCGTAGGAGCTCTTTTCTGACGGCTGCGATGTTCTTGGTGACGTAGGAAGCAAGGCTGCTGAAAGGGAGTAGGGGGAGGAGGTGGTGAAGGTGTAGGGAGAGAAGAGAAGGTATGAAATCATCACCTGGGAGAGTGGGAGACAGAAAAGACAAGAGAAGTATAATATGTTTGTGGAGCATCATTCAGGGCCCACGGGATTTTTATCAGCAATGTAAAGGGTGAACAGAGGCTGACTGAGTCTGTTCTCCAGCCATGGGGCGGTGCAGGCCCAGAGTGGCTGGAGAGCTCCATTCAACCAGAGTTGTGGTTTCATCAGGAGAGAGCCTGAAAGCGAGAGAGAGGTGAGGAAGTCAGGGGGTCTAAGCAGATGAATGACCATAGTGACTGGATCAGGAGGGAGGGGAGGACGTGGGGGCTGGGGGACAGTGAGAAGGTGGCGAGGTCTCTGCAGGGCAGGACTGTAGGTCTTGGTGGACTCATGGGGTTGCTGGAATTGCGGTGCTGAGGGAGTGAGCTGGACAGATAGAGGACACGGTGAGGAGTGACTGGAGAGCGGGTGTGGGGGCTGTAGGTCTGGATAATGAGGAGGTTAAGGGAGCGGGTGTGGGGGCTGTAGGTCTGGATAATGAGGAGGTTAAGGGTATGAGTCTGGGTGGCTGAGAGGGGAGGGAGGAGGTTCTGGGCCTGGGCAGCCAGGGTTGCTCAGGCGACACTGACGGGTGCTCCTGTGAGCACTGCTGTCCTCTGGAGAGCCTCTAGTGAGCGTCATGCTCTCTGTGTGCAGGTGCCAGCAGCTTTGCTTGGGGAAGGGACCTCATAGGTGCCATTGGGGCATAAAGGACAAGAAGGACAGATGAGAGAAAGGAGAGGGGCAAAACAATCTGGTTTACGTTGAGCACCCCATTTATAATCCCCCTGCTTCACTGTGTCTTCCACTCTGTAACCACAGGCCATTGATGGCTGGTTCTCGAGTGAACGAGTCATCTACTCAAGGAGACAATTCGTGTGAGCGTGCAGCCTCGAAGCACAGCCAGGCTGGAAGCCCAGCCGCACTGAAGGACACTGTGCTAGAAAACTAGCTTTCCCTTTCCTCGAATTCCCAGGGCTTCGCAGGGTTTGTGTTATGCTAGACACTTGTGGGTGGGGAGCCAAGAGTGGTGTGTCCTGTCCCGGGATAGGTGGCTGAGAAGGGTGTGTTTTGGGGGCAGGATAGATAGGTTTAACCCCACCGGTCACCACCGGTTACAGCAGCTGAGGTGAGCTGCTTGTGTCTGCTGGAATCCTCAGTTTGCATGGGTGTCCTCCAAAGCTGTCCCTCCCTGGGGACCTGCAGACCTGGGCAGCTCCTAACTCTGCCTGGGAGTCAGCCGTGCTGTCTCCGGCATGGTACAAACATCTCTGTAAGTTACTGTGCTCTTTGCCGTGAAAAAGTCTAGTGCTCTCACTGTGTTAGCATTTTACACCCATCCTTCATCTCTCTGCTGTGATAACCATGTGGGGTGGTGTCCACTGAACTGAAGAAGGATTTGATGTACTTGACTTGATGTCAAGAGGCATTGTACTTTGGGAAGTCGCTTACCTCTCTTGGGCCTAGGTTTCTCGATCTGTAGAAATGAGTAATAATTTATGTTTTTCCATAGAGCTGCTAAGATGCTCAAATGAGATATTTATGAAAGTGCTTTGTAAACTGCACACTGTAAAAACAGGTTACCTGTTATGTCTTATCTTTGTAGAAATAACAGCAAACAAGTACAAGAAAGAGAGAGAGAGAGACAGCAAGAATTACAGCCTGTATGGAAGACGACTCTAAATAATGTAAGTCTTAGAGGAGCCAGCCATCCTAGACCAGATTCCCATAAAAATCAAACCAGGAAAAAATAAAGAGGAGAAGTTAAAGTTCACTGCTGGAAAACCATGTTTTTCTCCCTGTGGGAGAGGTTATTATTTTAGTGCAGGAAGAGAACTATAATTCGTTTTCCCAATCAGAGCCTTCTGAGGCGTTGCCATGATTCACAGGCTATGACTCACTTATTAGAGTTCTCACTAGTGTATTACCAATAGTTTATATTCCTTAAAAAGGAGATAAGATGAAGAAGAGAGATTACATAATTATTTTTATTTCAGCTTATACCTTGGGTTTATCTGACATGATAATTTCACACAAAAAAAGTTTCTCTCCACCTGCAAAGGAAAAAAAATTCTCATTACTTTTTTTCAGAAATCACATTTCCAAAATGCTTGTTAACCTCAGTACTTTTGCTGTCACACTTGGCAAACTACTGTGAAGGAAATTAATTTCTTTTGTTATTATTATTATTTTATTTGAGACTGAGTTTCACTCTTGTTACCCAGGCTGGAGTGCAGTGGCGCAATCTCTGCTCACTGCAACCTCCACCTCCCAGGTTCAAGCGATTCTGCTGCCTCAGCCTCCCAAGTAGCTGGGATTACGGGTTCCCGCCACCACGCCTGGCTAATTTTTTGTGTTTTTAGGAGAGACGGGATTTCACTATGTAGGCCAGGCTGGTCTTGAACTCCTGACCTCGTGGCCCACCTGCCTTGACCTCCCAAAGTGCTGGGATTACAGGCATGAGCCACCGTGCCCAACTGTTATTTTTTTTTTTTTTTAAGAAACTGGGTCTCACTCTGTCACCCAGGCTGGAGTGAGGTGGTGTGATCATAGCTCACTGTAACCTCAAACTCCCAGGCTCAAGCAATCCTCCTGCCTCAGCCTCCTGAGTAGCTAGGACTACAGGCACACACCACCCCACCTGGCTGATTTATTTATTTATTTATACTTTTGTGGAGACAGAGGTGTTGCTTTGTTGCCTAGGCTGGTCTTCCCTTCAAGCAATCCTCTTGCCTCAGCCTCTAAAAGTGATGGGATTACAGGGTTAAGTCACTGCACCTTGCCAGAAATTATGATTTTTTTTTTTGAGATGGAGTTTTGCTCTGTTGCCCAGGCTAGAGTGCAATGGCGCGATCTTGGCTCACTGCAACCTCTACCTCCCAGGTTCAAGCGATTCTCCTGCCTCAGCCTCCTGAGTAGCTGAAATTACAGGCATGTGCCACCATACCCAGCTAATTTTTGTATTTTTAGTAGAGATGGGGTTTCACCATGTTGGCCAGGCTGGTCTCAAACTCCTGGCCTCAAGTGATCCACCCGCCTGGGCCTCCCAAAGTGCTGGGATTACAGGCGTGAGCCACCACTCCTGGTCCAGAAATTTTTCTAAAGTCAGCATAAAAATAAATCAGTGTGAAACACCCCAACCCATAAGATTTCTTCACTATCAATAGCCATTCTAAAACACATTCATTAGATATTTTTGAATTATGTTATTGTGAATTATATTTTTCAAAATTAAAAAAATCCACCAGTTCATCAAAACACAAGTAAATAGTCTTTTCTACCACCCACTCATGTCATCAAAAAGATCAATCAAATATAGTATAAACATCAAGCCAGACACACTGAAGTTATTAGAATGGCTGGGTGTGGGGGCTTATGCCTGTGCTTTGGGAGGCTGAGGTGGGAGGATCACTTGAGTCCAGGAGTTTGAGACCAGCCTGGGCAACAGAGCAAGATCCCATCTCTACAAAATACACAAAAATTAGCTGGGCATAGCGGTGTGTGCCTGTGGTCCCAGATACTCAGGAGGCTGAGGTGGGAGGATCACTTGAGCCTGGAGGTCGAGGCTGCAGTAATTGTGCCATTGCACTCCAGCTTGGGCAACAGGTGAGACCATGTCTCAAAAAAAAAGAAATGAACATTTCTTTATTCCATTTCATTGATGTCAAGCTCACATAATCACAAATATTCTAATCTGGGAGATTCAAAACCTGTTGATGATTTGAATGTTGTCTAGATTCTATTTAAGTATTTCCTGCAGGCTGTAAAGCTACACACTTCCCACAGAATAAAGGCGTTTATGTGCTTTTTGAGTTCAACCACTTTGACTGCATTAGGCCGGGTCTACACTGACTTCATAGGCTATTGAAATGATGATAATGATGAATGTATATTATTTACCTGAGTAACTACAGTGGTTTAGGCACTTTGCATGTATGTTATTTATTTATGTATTTTTTGAGACAGAGTCTCGCTTTGTTGCCCAGGCTAGAGTGCCATGGTGCAAACCTGGCTGACTGCCACCTCGACCTCCTGAGCTAAAGCAGTCTTCCCACCTCATGCTCCCAATTAGCTGAGACTACAGGCGTGCACCACCATGCCTGGCTAATTTTTTTTTTTTTTTTTTTTGAGACGGAGTCTCGCTCTGTTGCTCAGGCTGGAGTGCAGTGGCACAATCTTGGCTCACTGCAACCTTCACTTCCTGGGTTCCAGCGATTCTCCTGCCTCAGCCTCCCAAGTAGCTGGAATTACAGGTGTGTGCCACCACGCCTGCTAATTTTTGTATTTTTTAGTAGAGATGGGGTTTCACCATATTGGCCAGGCTGGTCTTGAACTCCTGACTTCATGATCCACCCACCTCAGCCTCCCACAGTGTTGGGATTACAGGTGTGAGCCACCACGCCTGGCCCCGGCTAATTTTTTATTAATACTTTTTTGTAGAGATGGTGTCTTGCTATGTTGCCTAGGCTGGTTTTGAAATCTTGGGCTCAAGAAATCCTTTTGCCTTAGCATTCCAAAGTGCAAGATTACAGTCATGAACCACCATGCCCAGCCTCATATACACATTTTAATTCATCCCACAATACTGAGTTTGAGAAAACAGCCTTAAAGAGGTTAAATCATCTACCAATGGTTACTCAGCAAGTAGGCGGGTGAGCCAGAATCCTAAACCATGTCAACCTTTTTCCATCATATGACACAATGCCTAAATAAATGTTCTACCAAATGCAAGGCTAAGCTGAATCTGAAGAATTTTAACAAGGCACTGGATTCAAACCAAAATTTTAATTTGGAGCCCAAATCATTTAGATCAGTTCTCTGCCTTGGTTAACCTAACCAGTGGATGTCTGCTTCACTGGGTGCCAGTGGATTTGGGTCTCAAAGAACATGCATTTGAAAAAATTAGGAGGAAAAAAAATCCTTTGGACAATATGTCTTTAAAAAAAATCAACCAAAACTCCCTTTGGGACTGTGATTTTCCCACAGAAACAGATAGGAATCAGGTCTTACATCAGTTTCTTGCTGCCCGGAAATTTCAAAACAACAATGTTCAGAAGGAGACTGAGAAAGCACGACAGCAACAAAAATGGAAGGAACTAATTGGCTGCAAGTTTCTTGTGTGATGTGACTTCCCCTAGGTCATCTTTTCCTAGATTGATAGCTGTGGCACCTGCTGTGATTGGAATGGGCTCCTGTACTTTTGGCAGTGCAGGTCCCATAGCCAGAGCTCACTGTTGTCCTTTCTGTCAGGAACTTCTCTTGAGGCGAAAGAGATGCCCCTCGAACTAACTGGGCTTTAACGTAATGGAACCTGGACAGGATCCATGATCCAGCTTCCTATCCAGAGATTCTGAGAGGCTGAAGAATTCTAGCCAAGAATACATAAGCTTGTTGGAAGGAATTTAAAGCAATGTTATCTCCTAAAACATTCCACATGCCCACTCCCATCATCCCCAGTAAAACGTAATCCCAGCACTTTGGGAGACTAAGGTGGGCGGATTGGTTGAGGCCAGGAGTTTGAGACCAGCCTGGGCAACACGGTGAAACCCGTCTGCTGAGACCAGCTCAGTTGTGGAGACCCTAGCAGCAGCACTAGAGGAATTAAAGACACGTAGAAATATAGGGTGTGGAGTGGGAAATCAGGGGTCTCACAGCCTCCAGAGCTGAGATCCCTGAACAGAGATTTACCTACATATTTATTGACAGCAAGCCAGTGATAAGCATTGTTTCTATTGATTATAGATTTACTAAAAGTATTCCTTATGGGAAACAAAGGGATGGGCTGAAACAAAGGGATGGGTCTGGCTAGTTATCTGCAGCAGGAGCATGTCCTTAAGGCACAGATCGCTCATGCTATTGTTTGTGGTTTAAGAACGCCTTTAAGGGGTTTTCCACCCTGGGCGGGCCAGGTGTTCCTTGCCCTCATTCCGGTAAACCCACACCCTTCAGCTGGGCATCATGGCCATCATGAACATGTCACAGTGCTGCAGAGATTTTGTTTATGCTCAGTTTTGGGGCTAGTTTATGGCCAGATTTGGGGTCCTGTTCCCAACACCCATCTCTACTAAAATTATAAAAATTAGCTGGGCATTGTAGTACACACCTGTAATCCCAGCTACTCGGGAGGTTGAGGCAGCAGAATCACTTGAACTCAGGAGGTGGAGTTTGCAGTGAGCCGAGATTGCACCACTGAACTCCAGCCTGGGTGACAGAGCAAGACTCTGTCTCAATAAACAAATAATGATGAATTGAAGCTTAGCATACATTCAGAAAAGGGCATCAATCCCTAGTGGATAGTTCAATAAATTCAATAAATTTTTACAAGGTGAACATACCTGTATAACCAACATCAAATCAGGAAATAAGACATTACCAATAACCAGAAGCCCCTTCAAGCCCCTTCTCTTTCTCTCTAGAGCAGACACTCTCCTGATTTTAATTGTTACGGAATATATTAATTTTGCCTGAGTTTATATTTTATATAATTAGAATTCAATGTTGTACCTTGTGCTGGTTAATTTTATTTGCCAATTTGACTGGGCCACAGGGTACCTAGACGTTTGGTTCAACGGTATTCTGTGTGTCTGTAAGAGTGTGTGTGGATGCGATTAAGAGTTGAACTGGTGGACTGAGTAAAGCAGATTGTGGGCCTCACCCATCAACTGAAGGCCTAAATATAACAAAAGGCTGCTCCTCCCAAGAGTCAAAAAATTCCTTCTGCCTGATTGACTGTTTTTCCTGCCTTTGGACTCAGACTAAAACCTCGGCTCTTCCTGGGTCTTGAGCCTACCAAACATTGGATGAAATCTTCATCATCGGCCGGGCGTGGTGGCTGACGCCTGTAATCCCAGCACTTTGGGAGGCCGAGGCGGGCGGATCACAAGGTCAGGAGATCGAGACCATGGTGAAACCCCGTCTCTACTAAAAATACAAAAAAAAATTAGCCGGGCACGGTGGCGGGCGCCTGTAGTCCCAGCTACTCAGGAGGCTGAGGCAGGAGAATGGCGTAAACCCAGGAGGCGGAGCTTGCAGTAAGCCGAGATCGCGCCACTGCACTCCAGCCTGGGCGACAGAGCAAGACTCCGTCTCAAAAAACAAAAAAAAAAACCAAAAAACAAAAACCAAAAAACAAACAAAAAAAAGACCAGTGTGGCCAACATGGTGAAACCCCGTCTCTACTAAAAATACAAAAATTAGCCAGGTGTGGTGGCACGTGCCTGTAATGCCAGCTACTTGGGAGGCTGAGGCAGGAGAATCGCTTGAACCCAGGAGGTGGAGGTTGCAATGAGCTGAGATCATGCCATTGCACTCCAGCCTGGGCAACAGAGTGAGGCTCCGTATCAAAAAAAACCCCCAAAAAAACAAAAACAAAAAACTTCACTATCAACTCTCCTGAGTCTCTAGCTTGCCAGCTGCAGATCTTGGGACTCCTTGACCTCCATGACTGTGTGAGCCAATTCCTTATGATACATCTCTTCATATATCTATTGCTATGGCTTGAATATTTGTCCCTTCTGAAACTTACATTGAAATTTAACCCCCCAGTGTGGCAGTATTGAGAAGTGGGGACTTTAAGAGGTGATTGGGTCGTGAGAATTCTGCCTTCATGAATGGATTAGCCGGATGTGGTGGCGGGCACCTGTAGTCCCAGCTACTTGGGAGGCTGAGGCAGGAGAATTGCTTGAACCTAGGAGGCGGAGGTTGCTGTGAGCCGAGATCGCACCACTGCACCCCAGTCTGGGCGACAAGAGCAAAACTTCATCTAAAAAATAAATAAATACAAATAAAAAAAATTACCCAGTTTTAGGTATTCTGTTATAAACAACAAAAAACGGACTAAGACATCTATATCTACATCCCTTCCCTATTAGTTCTGTTTCTCTGGAGAACACTCATACATACCCTGCTTGCTTTTGCATTTTTACTTAATGTAATGAACAAAGTCTGCCTTCATTAACAGACTTGAACTGAGCACCTACAGTATCTGGAGTGCTTACCAAGCCATCTGTCATGTCTTAAAAATGAAATGTTTATTTTCTCCAGGATGATAATATTGGTGGAATCAAAGCATCTAGAAGACCATGCATTCCATTTTAAATCTAGTTGAGATGGCATAATTCATACCTCCTCAAATTTGGACAATTATAAATGACTCAACCAGCAGGTGCCAAATTGCACCTATACCCTGAGTATACCTGAAGCAACCACTTAAACCCAAGCTAATAGCCAGATGTATGCTCACTGAATGGATAACTTACCTAACCTTGAGGTGAGTTAAGAATCAAACACACTCACAGTTTTAAAAAAATGTTTTTGAAGTGGATTTTATTATTTTATTTTTATTTATTTATTTTTTTGAGATGGAGTCTCACTCTGTCACCCAGGCTGGAGCTCAATGGCATGGTCTTGGCTCACTGCAACCTGCGCCTCCTGAGTTCAAGTGATTCTCCTGCCTCAGTCTCCTGAGTAGCTGGGACTACAGGCGCATGCCACCATGCCCGGCTAATTTTTGTATTTTCAGTAGAGACAAGGTTTTACTATGTTGGCCAAGCTGGTCTCGAACCCCTGACCTCATGATCTGCCTGCTTCGGCCTCCGAGAGTGCTGGGATTACAGGCATGAGCCACCATGCCAAGCCTGAAGTGGATTTTATGAATAAAGACTTTGTGGCTACCTGTTATCCTATGGAGTCCGATGTGGCCTTCACTTTAATACTTCCTCAAGTAGATAGTAGTGAGATGGGAGAGACAGGAGAAATATACATCTGGGGTCAGTGAGTCACCACAAGCATTTCCATGATAATTCTCCACACTGGCCAATTGATCAATCATATATTGGAATATATATTGGAATATAATCCAAATGCTAGTCAAGGCCTCTGTGTCTACCTGGCTCCTGTTTGCATCTATCTCAAAACCTCACATTACCCTCCATAGAAATCTTGGCCCCTTCACTGGTTCCCAACAGAAATCTACCTAGACAGCTGGTTTTTGAGTTTTAATAGAATTTTACTGAGGGTTGCCAGGCGCGGTGGCTCCCGCCTATAATCCCAGCACTTTGAGAGGCCGAAGAGGGCAGATCACGAGGTCAGGAGATTGAGACCATCCTGCTAGCACGGTGAAACCCTGTCTGTACTAAAAATACAAAAAAATTAACTGGGCGTCATGGCGGGCGCCTGTAGTCCCAGCTACTCGGGAGACTGAGGCAGGAGAATGATGTGAACCTGGGAGGCGGAGCTTGCAGTGAGCCGAGATCACGCCACTGCACTCCAGCCTGGGCGACAGAGCAAGACTCCATCTCAAAAACAACAACAACAAAAAAACAACTGAGGGTTTGGGGGTAGGGGCATCTCATTTTAATACAATATACAGCATCCCTGTCTCATTTCTCATTCTCTTTTTGCTTTTCCTTTTTCTCAGAAGCTCCTTAAAGTACTCTCCTGATCTTCTGGCAAATAATTCAGCAAACATCTTTCGTTGCTTGAGAATGCCCTGGGAGGCCTCCTCCTTATCCTCAGTAAGCTTGTCAGTGTGTTTCTTCCAAGCACATACAGCACTTTCCCAAAGAGATCTAATAAAATAAAAACTTTCCTCTTCTCATTATAACTTGAGTGATAACATGATTTCTTTTTTTTTTTTTTTTTTTTTGAGACGGAGTCTCGCTCTGTCGCCCAGGCTGGAGTGCAGTGGCGCAATCTCGGCTCACTGCAAGCTCCGCCTCCCGGGTTCACGCCATTCTCCTGCCTCAGCCTCCCGAGTAGCTGGGACTACAGGCGCCCGCCACCTCGCCCGGCTAATTTTTTCTATTTTTAGTAGAGACGGGGTTTCACCATGGTCTCGATCTCCTGACCTTGTGATCCGCCCACCTCGGCCTCCCAAAGTGCTGGGATTACAGGCGTGAGCCACCACGCCCGGCCAAGAGTGATAACATGATTTCTATTGCTCAGCATTAGTCTACGCCCAGGGAGATATATAGGAGAACAGAAGATGATTCCTACCCTCAACGCATTTAGAGTCCATGGAGAGATAATTACTAAGCATGAAATAGTTGGAGAGGCCGGGCGCGGTGGCTCACGCCTGTAATCCCAGCACTTTGGGAGGCCGAGACGGGCAGATCACGAGGTCAGGAGATTGAGACCATCCTGGCTAACACAATGAAACCCCGTCTCTACTAAAAAATACAAAAAACTAGCCGGGCGAGGTGGCGGCGCCTGTAGTCCCAGCTACTCGGGAGGCTGAGGCAGGAGAATGGCGTAAACCCGGGAGGCGGAGCTTGCAGTGAGCCGAGATCGTGCCACTCACTCCAGCCTGGGCGACAGAGCGAGACTCCGCCTCAAAAAAAAAAAAAAAAAAAAAAAAAAAAAAAAAAAAAAAGAAATAGTTGGAGAATACTTCAGTGCCAGGCTATGTGGTAATGTCCATGCACTGGGGGTTAAGAACAGTGCCAGGTCAGCTCAGCTGAGCCAGGGGAAAACGATCTCCAGGTGGGTGTGTGGGGTGGGTTGAATTTGGTTTGGCTGCCTGGTGGGAGGAGCACAGTTCAGGGTAAGGGCACAGTATTAACAAAGTCAGGAGCGTGGCAAGAGGGAGTGTGAGTACTGACGAGAAATAAACCTGGTTGGGAGAATGGAGTGAAATTAGGGTGCTGAAAGCCAGAGATGTGGACTGTGGGACCAGTGATAATGGAGATTCCCCAGTGGTTCCTTGAGTAGAAAGTGACACACAGAAAACCACACCAAGAGGCCTTGCCTGACAGCGCGTACAGGATGCACTGGAGGGGGACACGGAGACCATCTGCTACAACCAAGCCCTCAGGCCGACGTGTGGATGGTTGGGATTAGGAGGGGCAACGGGACGGGAGATTGAAAGGTGAATCTGCTGGCTGGGCATGGTGGTTCATGCCTATGATCCCAGCACTTTGGGAGGCCGAGGTGGGCGGATCACCTGAGGTCAGGAGTTCAAGATCATCCTGACCAACATGGAGAAACCCTGTCTCTACTAAAAATACAAAATTTAGCCGGGCGTGGTGGTGCATGCCTGTAATCCCAGCTGCTTGGGAGGCTGAGGCAGGAGAATCACTTGAATCTGGGAGGTGGAGGTTGCAGTGAGCCAATATTGCACTTATTGCCCTCCAGCCTGGGCAACAAGAGTGAAACTTCATTTAAAAAAAAAAAAAAAAAAAAAAGATGAATCTGCAAAAAACTTAAGCATCACTGATCTCTAATTGGTCACAGGAATGGAGGAAAGGGAGAACGACTTGAGGGAGGCAGCCCCTGTCTGGATTCCAAGCCCTGCTCGGAATCAGAGGGCAATGGCGAGAGGTGAAGGCTAAAGGTGCTTTTTAGTCTGGATGCTTGTGTGTCCCTCTGCATCCCTCCCATCCTCTCCCATTGTCATTCTCTCATCTTCTGCGTTAATTCCTACCAGCACATCTATACATGCCGCCACTGGTACAGCCTCCTGTGGCTCTGCTTAGGCAAGGGATGAAGGGTTACCAATGACCCAGCAATAAATGGTAAGTGAATTTGTCTTGCATCATGCCTGCAGGGGAATCTTTCCTAAGTTATTTAGAACCTTGAATTGTTTACTCTAAGGAAGGGCTTCTTAACCTGAGGACTATGGATAGATTGCAAGAGATCCATGGAGTTAGATAGGAAATTCACTAACCTTGAACTGAAATTTAGCATTATTATAAATCCAGGCAATAAATCATGTAGCATTATCAGTCCCAGTGACTTGGTCACCATCAATGGAAATCACAGACATTTTTATATCTTGTTATAGTTGTTTCAGAGAGCATGAACTATCTTCTGCACTTACTACTTTGCAGTTTTGTTGTTGTTGTTGTTGTTGTTGTTGTTGTTGTTGAGACGGAGTCTCGCTCTGTCGCCCAGGCTGGAGTGCTATGGCTGGATCTCAGCTCACTGCAAGCTCCGCCTCCTGGGTTTACGCCATTCTCCTGCCTCAGCCTCCTGAGTAGCTGGGACTACAGGCGCCCGCCACCTCGCCCGGCTAGTTTTTTGTATTTTTTTAGTAGAGATGGAGTGTCACTGTGTTCGCCAGCATGGTCTCGATCTCCTGACCTCGTGATCCACCCATCTCGGCCTCCCAAAGTGCTGGGATTACAGGCTTGAGCCACCGCGCCCGGCCTACTTTGCAGTATTAATAGTGAAACTAGACCTCCTGCTTTATCTTGTTATTGAGTGTGTTAATTTCTCACAAATATATGATTGATCAGGAATTTTAAAAATACTTTGGCCAAGTGAGGTGGCTCACATCTGTAATCCCAGCACATTGGGAGGGCAAGGTGGGAGGATCACTTGAGGCCAGGAGTTTGAGACCAGACTGAACAACACAGTGAGATCCCATTTCTGCAAGAACTGAAAAGATTAGCTGGGTGTGATGGCACATGCCTATAATCCTAGCTACTTGGGAGGCTGAGGTGGAAGGATTGCTGAAGCGATGATTGCACCACTGCACTCCAGCCTGGACAACAGAGTGAGACCCTGTCTCAAAAAAAGAAAGAAAAGAAAAGAAAGAAGAAAAGAAAGAAAAGAGAGAGAGAAAGAAAGAGAAATAAAGAAAGAGAAGGAAAGAAAGAAAATGGGAGGGAGGCAGAGCAAGATGGCTGAATAGAAGCCTAACAATTGTCCTCCCTGCAGGAACATCAAGTATCCACACACACACACACCCCTTCATAAGAATGAAAAATCAGGTGAGCAATCACAGTGCCTGGTTTTCACTTCCTGTTGCTGAAGGAGATACTGAAGAGCGTAGGAAAGATAGTCTTGAACTGCTGACTCCACCCCTCTCCCGTCTCCCAACAGTGGCCGTGTGGCACAGAGAGAGCCGGTGTGTTTGGGGGAGGGAGAGCGCAGTGACTGGGGGACTTTGCACTGGAACTCAGTGCTGCCCCCTCAGAGCAGAAAGTAAAACCAGGCAGAACTCAGCCAGCAATGGAGGGAGCATTTAGATCAGCCCTACCCGAGGGAACTTGCCCATCCCAGTGGTGGCAAGCCGACTTTCGGCAAACCTCGCCACCATGCGCTGAAGTGCTCTGGGATCCTAAACAAATTTGAAAGGCAGTCTAGGCCACAAGGACTACAACTCCTAGGCAAGTCCTAGTGCCACACTGGGCTTGGAACCAGTGGACTTGGGGGCACATGGCCTCCTGAGACACAAGCCTGGGCAGCTAAGGGAGAGCTTGTGCCACTTATCCCCCAACCTCAGGCAGCACAGTTCACAGCTCTGAAAGACGCCTTCCTCCTGCTTGTGGAGAGGGAACTTAGAAACCAGCTCAGCCACAGTGGCACAGGGCACCAGGCAGTCATGAGGCCTCCATTCCAGGCCCTAGCTCCTGGACTACGTTTCTAGACGTACCCTGGGCCAGAAGGGAACCTGCTGCCTTGATGGGAAGGACCCTGTCCCGGCAGACTGCATCACCTGCTGACGACAGGGCCCTTAGGCCCTGTATAATCAGCAGCAATACCCAGGGAGTACGTCATGGGCCTTGGGTGAGACTCTGAGATGTGCTGGCTTCAGGCATGACCCCGCACATTTCTAGCTGTGGTGGCTACAAAGAGGGACTATCTTTGCTTGAGAAAAGGAGAAGGAAGGGTAAAGGGGACTTTGTCAAAACCAGGCAGAACTCAGCCTAGGTACCAGCTCAGCCACAGTGGGGTATAGCACCAAGTGGGCTCTTGGGGCCCCTAATTCTAGGCCTTGGCACTTGGATGGCATTGCTGGACCTACCCTCGGCCAGAGGGGAGCCCACTTCCATGAAGGATGAGTCCTAGGCTGTAAGTGAACATCGGTGGTAGCCTGGCTGTACCACCCTGGGTCCACGGTGGTGGTGGCCAAGGGGAGACAATCCTCTCCTGGTGGAGAGGGGAGAGAAGAGTGGGAAGGACTTTGTCTTGTAGTTTGAGTGCCAGCACAGCTACAATAGGATAGAACACCAGGAAGATTCCTAAGGTTTCTGGCTGCAGGTCCTGGTTCCCAGATAGCATCTCTGGACCCACCTAGGGCCTGGGGGAACTTGCCACTCTGAAGGGAAGGACATAAGCCTGGCTTCACCGCCTACTGATTGTAGAGCCTTAGGGCCTTGAACAAACACAGTTAGTAGCCAGGCAGTGGTTATAGCAGGCCACGGGTGAGACGCAGTGCAGTCACAGTGGTGGTGGCCACAGGGGTGTTGTGTCACCACTTCCCCAGCTCCAGGCAGCTCAGCACAGAGAGAGAGAGAGAGACTCTGTTTGTTTAAGATAAAAGTAAGGAATGAGAACAAGAGTCTCTGCATGGTACTCTAGATAATTCTTCCAGATCTTATCCAGTACCACCAAGGCAGTACCTCTAAGAATAACCACAGTGTTACTGGGCTTAGGGAGACCCTAAGGCAGATATGGCTGGAGTGACCAAAAGCTTAGATCACAACACTCAAGTCCCATCTAATATGCACAAAGCCTTCCTAAGAAGGGCAGGTACAAAGAAGCCCAGACTGTGAAGATGATAATAAATACTAACTCTTCAATGCCCAGATACCAATGAACATCCACAGGCATCACAACCCTGCATGAAAACATGCGCCCAACAAATGAACTAAATGA